AAAAAGATGCCAAATTTGAGGTCAGTAAAATGATTTTGTGGGTTAAGTGCTGCCTGTGTACAATATTCAGAACCCTCTTGGTGAAGAGTTCCAACTCCTGCAAGTTGTTCTCTGACCATCACAGACACATACACTTTGACATACACACCCATCACACACACACACACACACACACACACACACAATAAAAATTATTCTAAGAGCCCAAACAAACTGGATTTCAGGGCAGCAAGACTGTGGGATTTGTCCTTAGAACTGTCAGAGAATAAAATTGAAAAGTTTGCAACTTTGTTACTGTAGCAAAGAGAAGGCCACACTTGTGCAGACATTGCAGGCTGGACACTCCATCCCCTGGAAGTCATCCATACTATCCTTGGCCAGAGCTGGATCACATACTGCCCAATGACTAGAAAGAGGGATGACGGATGACACTGACCAATTCAACTAATGAGGACTCACTACTGTCATCAAGGACAGGACATAGCTGCCTGCTTCCCTTAGGCTGGAGAAATGACACAGTGGTTAACAATACATACAGCTTTTGCAGAGGACCTGAATTTAGTTCTCAGCACTCACAGCAAGCTGCTCACAGTTGCCTGTAATTTCCCCCTCCAGGAGCTCTGCCCACCTCTTCTGGCCTCTACATGCACATGATATACACATACAGATAATTTAAAATAAATTTGTTTTTGTTTTAAGATTGGGTTCCTTAGCCAGGCAGTGGTGGTGCATGCCTTTAGTCCCAGCACTTGGGAGTCAGAGGCAGGCAGAGCTCTGAGTTTGAGACTAGTCTGGTCTACAAGAGCTAGTTCTAGGACAGTCTCCAAAACCAGAGAAACCCTGTCTCAAAAAAACAAAAAAACAGCAGCAAAAACAAAAAAGTTTGGGTTCCTTAACAGGCAGGGGAGAGTTGCTATGGGGACAGGCACACATGAGGATTCAAATAGGAAGGGCCAGGAACTTAGGGGGGTATACCTGGACTTGCCCTTTGGCTATGAGGAGTCATGGGTGGTGTGGATCTAGGGAGAGCTACTGTGGAGTGTTCAGGCTTGCCTTGGTTCTGAGCATCACTTATCCTCCTTCCCTGGAGGGGGAAGGCCTCAAATTCTTATCTTGGGAGTGTGGGGCCTGGAACATCCTGCAGAGAGCCACAACCCACATCCTGGAAGCAGAAGCCAGCACAGGACATGGCTCCCTAGAGTCCTAAGAACCTGCTACTTTGTGCCTCAAGACTTCATTTGAATGCAATGCAAAGCAATCCTTTGGAAATGCTATAGAAACTTACCATATACTAACTTCAGCCTACAGGGAAGGAGTTGAGGCATGACTGAATCCAGGACTTCTGATGCCACAACAGGCACCTATGGCCCCTTACTGGCTCTGCTCCTCCCTGACTGGATTCCTTCTGGCCATTGGCAGGAGTGGCCTGCAGTTGTGAGCTCAACCTTCCAACGGGAGTCAAAAAAAAAAAAAAAAAAAAAATTCGGGAGCAGGTCTCCTGTTGCCCAGGCTGGCCTTGAACTCAAAATATAGTGGTGAATGATCTTGAACTCCCAGAATCTTCCTAAGATGGGATGGGAGAGCTGTTGGCTTCCATTTCCTGAGTGCTTGTCTAACAGGTATGCATGGGTGGAACCCAGAGCTCTCTGCCACTTCAAAAATCTAAGCTATAGCTATGGCTCTGTTTGTTTATCTGTTTGTTTAGTTTTGTTGTTGTTGTCTGTCTGGCCTGGACCACTCTATGTAGATCAGGTTAGCCTTGAAATCATAGAGATTAAAGGTGTGTGTCTGACTGGCCCCGTTTGTTTCTTGGTCAAAGTATTTTCATGCAGCCTAAGCTAGCCAAAACTTGTCATCCTCCTGCCTCAGCCTGGGATGAATGCGTGCATGCCATCACATCCAAGTTTTGAAGGTCCTTAGCTGGATAGCTTTTTGTAACTAGAGAAAGAGACAGATCCCCAGGCTCTGGGTTAGAGACCTGGATAACTAAAGGCCATTGTCCTACCTGCCCCACTTAAATTGTCCTGTCTGCCTTGAGGCAAAAACATTCAGTCTTTCAAGCCTCAACAGATCTTTTCTTTGTTCCTAGTTGTAGCAGAGTGATCTGGAGTCCCAGACCGGTTTGCGCTACAGAACAAGACTATATGTCAAAAAGAAGCGAGAGCTGGGAATGTGGCTGAGCAGTAGAGCACCTGGCACTCAACCATGGGGCTGAGTTGAGGTCCTTGGCACTCATGGACAAGGCTAGGTATGTGGATATAACCCAGTGCTGGGGAGGCAGACACAGAAGCATCCCAACCAGTCTAGCTGAATTGGTGACTTCCAGTGACACTGAGAGACCCCATTTCGAAATATAAGGTGGAAAGCAATCAGGTATGGGCCCCTGGCCTCTGATCACCGCTCACACAGACACGTACACACAGATCTTTCCTCAGCCAGCCATGACCTCGTCTGTTGGTCTCAAGCATGTCTTCACCCTCAAGGCTCTTCTAGCTGTCAGGGGCCAAGGGGTCACAAGCCTGTCATTTCCTCTGTGCTCCTGGGTCTGGGTGAGAGAGAACCCTGGGGAGTTGAGCAGAGATCATGGGGCGTGAACCTACAACAACTGACTCTCCGAGCTTGGTGGTAGGAAGTGGGCAGCAGGAGACAGAAGGCTGAGTTGGGGACAGTTGTGCCAAGGGTGTCCCTGGGGAACCCATGGGTTCCCAGTATGTGGGAGCAGGACAGAGAGGGGCATGAACCTGTGCCAACCACACAATGGTCCTTTGATTCACACGGCCCAAGACACATTGGCTCAGAATGAGGGGTCAGGCCTCGGCCAAGGTCAGAGCTGTCCACCCCCACTCCCTCCTGCAAACTCTTGGTGAAAACACAGGGTCCCATGCTCTGCCCCAAACTAGGAGCATCCTTGGGGGATTGCCAGGAGCCAGGGCCAGGTCAGTATCCTCCCTCACTGGCACTGAACAGATATAGCAAGGAAGATGGTTCCTGCTGCAAGTGGATCTGGAGGGGTCTGGAGTAGATGTAAGGATGGGGGTGATCTTGGGGAACCCAGTGCTGCCTTTAGCACCCCCATATTTTCTAGCCATAGATTAATTTATCTGTGTATTTTTAAAATATTTTATGTGAATGGATGTTTCGCCTGCCATGTCTATGTGTGTACAGTACCTGAAGAGACCAGAAGAGGGTGTCAGATCCTCTGCAGCTAGAGTTACAAACAGTAGTGAGCTGCCATGTGGATGCTGGGAATGGAACCCCAGTTCTCTAGAAGAGCAACCAGTACTTTTAACTGCTGTGCCATCTTTCTATGCCCTTATTTGTGTGTTTTGTTGTCTAAATCACAAACTGGGTGAGGACAATACTAAATTAGACTTGGTCATTGGTATCCTCCAACACCACAGCTTGTCCCAAATCCATGAAGGACTCCATAGGACCCAACGACATTTCAAGGAAAAGTGACCTAGCTACTTTGGAGGCCCCTGATGGGAGGCCCCAGATGACAAAATACCCCAGACCTATTCCAGTGTTGCCCTCCCTCACAGACTGTGGGAATCCCATGGCACCTATGGTCTATCTATGCCAGAGCTACCTGGGAGGGGAAGGAGAAAGTCTCCCAATTGTTTTCAACACATGTTTGTATGTATGTGTGCAACACATAGGCTTAGGGGTCAGAGGAGAAATTGAGGAATCAGGGCTCCATCTACCATGAGTATCTGTGTCCTGGGGATTGAACTCAGGTCCTCAGGATTGGCTGTAAGCACCTTTGACCTTTGAGCCATCTTTTTGTTGTGGTTATTTTGAGGCAGGATTTCACCATGAAGCTCTGGCTAGCCTGGATCTGGCTCTGTAGCCCAGGCTGGCCTCAAACTCACAGAGATCCCCCTGCCTCCACCTCTTGAATGCATGCCACCACTTTTGGCCGCTGAGCCATCCTGGCTGTTTTTAGACAGACTCTCCCTGGCCTGAACTCCCTAGGTAGACCAGTTTGGACTTGAACTTGTGGCCCTCTAAGTGCTGGGATTCTGGGGTGTACCTCCCTGCAAGATGATTTCTCTCTTGGGTGTGTGGGGGTCCATGTGCATGCATGTATGCACTCACCGAGGCTAGAGGAGATCAGGTCTTTTGCTTAGCATTCTTAGCCTTAGTCCTTTGAGACAGTCTCTCACTGAAGTTGGAGCTAGGCTCTCAGCCAGAAAGCCCCAGCAGCTCTCCTATCCCCACTCCCCACAGCTCTGGCATTACAGGCCCTCTTGCCCTGCACACTCAGCTTTTTACATGGGTGCTGGAGTTTTAAACTCAGGTCTTCCTGTTTATGTAGCAGTTTTAACTCCTGAACCATCTTCTAACCCCTGGGTTTTGTTTGTCCTTTTTGAGACAGGACCTCAGGTCGCCCAGACTAGCCTGAAGTTCCCTCTTGTAGCTGAGAACAGCCTTGACCTCCTTGGTCCTAGGTGGAATGGCAGGTGTGCACCATCATGCCCATGGAACCCAGGACCTCATGCATGCTGGATGAGCCCTCTACCCATTGAGCTCTAGTGTGCTGAAGCCCCAAATGGTCTGAAACTTGCACCAGTCCTGCTTCAGCCACCCAACCACTAGAAAAGCGAGCGATACAAGCCTTTAAACAGCTTGCAGCAGCTCAGGGACACACTTTGCCACTTTGGGGGCTTGTCAGTGTGAAGGTCAGGCCAGAGGCCACAGAAACCAGATGACAACCACATTGTTATACCCAGTCCAGACTTCCAGACATACTCCAGGTGGAGACCCCAAGGAACACGGACACCTGGAAGTATGCACCTTAGTCACCTTCCAGAACCTGCCCCCGGGGCCAGTTTGTGACTTGACCCCACTGTGGACTATTCTTCCTAGGCAACTGTCTGGTTCCCAGATGGGACAGGGCCTGTCCCCGGCGGCCACCCCCGCGCAGGCCCGGGCCCTGCGCCTAGGGGACACGTCCGTCCCGCCGTGCCCCGCCCCGCCCGCCGCCGGCCCCGCCCGCCTTGGGCTTTTATAGGCCGAGGCGCCCGCACTCGCTGAGTCCCCGCTGCTGGCCCACACTCATCATGCGTCCTGGGGCACTGTGGCCGCTGCTTTGGGGAGCCCTGGTCTGGGCGGTGGGATCCGTGGGTGCCGTGATGGGCTCGGGGGATTCAGCGCCCGGTGAGTGGGGCTGGGCGGAAGGGGCGGGCGAGCGGGCCACCCACGTGGCCTGCGGAATGCGGCAGGGGGATGTCTGGGGTGCGATCTGTCTGGGTGGGCGAGTGGAGTACTCCTCCTCTCCAGCCTCAAGAGAGGTCTGACATTTATCAAGCTCTTACTGTTTGCCTGCTTTCCTATGAGTCCACAGAACCCAAAGTTTGTGGGTACTTTTAACATCCCCGTTTTCAGGATGGGTAAACTGAGGCTCATGAACCTCGTAAGTGACACCGTGGGTGGCTCCTTTTGAGAGACATCTCTTTCAGAGAGACATCTCTGGGTGGCTAGACCTGCTAATGCCACCTGAGTGGAGGGTTTCAGGATTCCTTAGATGGAATGTATCTGTTGGAATGGTGTACCTGCATCTGGCTGGAAGAGCTCTAGCCTCAGTTTCCCTTTTTGAAAAGTGTTTGCTGAGGTGCCGGAGCTCACTTCGTGGAAAGTGGTCAGTAGTGTCTCCTGAGCACGAATGAGTTCCCATACAGGGGATGCGGCTGTCCCCCATTTAAGGGTGAAAAAAGCCCAGGGTTCTGCGGTCCAGCCTCTACCCTGCTCGCCCTGCAGGGTTGCTGGCCTCTAAGGGAGCAGAGCCCCCTCCCCTAGGGCCGCGTCCCCCGTCCCATCCCAGGGGAGTGAGCTCACGCAGAGGGAATGTTCCCCAGTTGGAGTGAGTAAGAGGCGGGTTAGGCGAGGGGGGGCTGCAGGCCGGGGGCTCAGCTGCCCTGGGCACTGTCTAGACAGAGGGCAGAGGCGGGAAGCCAGTGCAGGCCCACAGACCCTCACATGCTGAGGGCCTGGCATTTGAAGGGGCTGGGCAGGATGCCAGTTCTCAGGCCCGGAGGCCGGGCAGGAGCTGGTGGTGAAGCACTGGGGTGCGGCTCAGAGGAGGAGGGCTCCCCACAGAGTAGAGTCAAGACCATAACTGTGACTTTCTGTCCCATCTTCCTGAGTAGGGGACAGGACATCCATGATGGCTATGGATATCTCTCAATTGGAGGGGTCATTAGACCTGGGGTGTTGGGTGTTGGTTACAAATTTGCTACACAAATTCATAGGTAGAGATGGTGGTCTGGAGTTACTCTCCTCCTCCTCTTTCTCCTCCTCCTCCCCATAGGTGGTGTGTGCTGGCTCCAGCAGGACAGAGAGGCCACCTGCAGTCTGGTGTTGAAGACTGATGTCAGCCGTGAGGAGTGCTGTGCTTCCAGCAACATCAATACAGCCTGGTCCAATTTCACTTACCCAGGCAATAAAATCAGCCTGCTGGGGTTCCTGGGGCTTGTCCACTGCCTCCCATGCAAAGGTAAGGAGTGGGGGTCCTGATGGTGGACAAGACCCAGAGTGGATAGGAGGCTGGGGAGGGGACCCTGACCTCAGAGAGCAGTCATGGGCACCCCAGGGCCACAGCTTGCAAAGGTTCAAGCCCCCTGGTTTCTTCATGTAGAGCCCCTAGCCTGCACCCTACCTCACCTGGTGGAGTTTAACTTAGCCCTAAATCCTGCCCTGACACCCAGACAACTGTCCCCATTGTCACCCACACAAATCCCCAATACAAGCAATTTTAAATGTTGTATATACTTGAAGTATGTACTTTATTCTGAGAAGTGCACCCCTATAATCCCTGCTGAGAACAGAATGACAGTCCAGAGACCTTCTCTCTTGAAGGAAGCATTGATTGGAGGGCACCCCTGGTCTGTCTGTGGGGGTGCCCAGGTTAACTCTGTAGTGTGGGAACACCGAGAAACCGAGGCCAGAGAGTTTAGGGTCTCCAGACCCACAAAGCAATTGAACTGGGAGAGGAGAGGGAGGGTGTTCAGTCTGAGTCTAGCATGAAATTCTCAAGCTAGGATGTTTTGAGGGTCCTCTTGTACTCAGAGCTGTAGCGGTCTCAGTTTCCCCATCTGTAAAATGGTGACTGAACAACATATTAAAAGGGACACGTGGCCAGGAGCAGTGATGCAGTCTGGGATTCCCAGCACTTGGGATCTAGAAGCAGGAGGATCAGTTCAAGGCCAGCCTGGGCTACAGGAGACCCCGTCTCAAGAGAACAAAACCCTAACACAAGACTTTGTCTAGCCAAGCCTCCACCTGAGACCTGAGGATGTGCAGAGTGAACCCCTCCCCTGTGCCTCTTTGAGCAGGTCCTAGTGGGACGTCAAGGCACAGGCACTCAGTAGTTGTGCATTAGGGTGTTCCTGGACTCCAGTGGCATGTGGGAACCCCACCTACACGCGTCCTCTGTCCCCAGATTCCTGCGACGGAGTGGAGTGCGGGCCCAGCAAGGTGTGCCGCATGGTGGTGGGCCGTCCACACTGTGAATGCGCACCAGACTGCGAGGGGCTTCCCGCGGGCTTGCAGGTCTGCGGCTCTGATGGCGCCACCTACCGAGACGAGTGCGAGCTGCGCGTCGCGCGCTGCCGCGGGCACCCAGACCTGCGTGTTATGTACCGAGGCCGCTGCCAAAGTAAGGGCCGTGGCCGTGGAGGGGCGGGGCCATGGATGAGGCCAGGGAGGGACCCGCGGGACCGAGAGATGCGGGTCCGGGAAAAGGTAGGGCAGGATGAGGGGTGGAGTCTAGAGGGGCGGGGCCTAAGGGAGGTGTGGTCACGCAAGGGCGGAGTCTGAAGTATCGCGGCCTGGAGAGAGACGGTCCCACGAAAGGGCATGGCTTGGGAGGGGCGTGACCTGCACAAAATCCTGACCAAACGTTGGTCATTAGGTTCTGTAGGGGCGGTGCCATGTCGGTCTCACTGTACGGATAAGGCTGGTTGCCATCGCTAGGAGGCGGGGTCTGAGGGAGGGGAAGGGCTATGCAAGACTGGGTCAGGTCAGGTGGATGCCAAAGTCGCGGGCTTCAGAGATTGAGCTCGAGCCCGGGGATAACTTATACAACTCTCGGGCGTGTCCGGGGGCAGGGCTGTGCGCTGCAGCACGTAACGTTCCGCAGCCCTGCGGGCCAGCGTGCCCTTACAAGTGCTGACGCGCAGGAGAAGCTGCTCAGCCACGGGAAGAGGCTTGCGATGGGCTGGGAGGGGAAACGTGGGTGTAGTCCTGAAGGCAACCTTATGGGTGGAGCTTGGTAGAATGGGGCAGGGTTTTGATGACTGAGTGGGTGGGGCTGTTGTCCTGGGGGCGGAGCTTGACGGAGGTGGGAGGGGTCTCGCGTTTTAGGGTGGGGCTTAAGAGAGCCGGGGGTGGGGATTGCCTTCTGGGGGATGGGTCTTGACAGGTTGGAGCTAGTGTTCTAGGGCGGGCTTTAAAGAGTGGCGATGCATTTATTTCCAAGAATGGGGCTTTCAGGTGGAGTCCTAGTCTCAGGGTAGATGGACTCACGGGGAAGAGACACCATCCAGTGCCTGACCTGCCCTCTCTGGTGCCCATAGAGTCCTGCACTCACGTAGTGTGCCCGCGCCCCCAGACATGCCTTGTGGACCAGACTGGCAGCGCACATTGCGTGGTGTGTCGTGCCGCGCCCTGCCCGGTGCCTTCCAGACCCGGCCAGGAGCTCTGTGGCAACAACAACGTTACCTATATCTCCTCGTGTCACCTGCGCCAGGCTACCTGCTTCCTGGGCCGCTCCATTGGGGTTCGCCACCCGGGTATCTGCACAGGTGAGACTCGAGTGGGTCTGGGCATCGGTTCACCAAGGGACAGTTCATGAGCTCACTCTTGCCCGTTTCCTCCATCCCTGCAGGTGCCCCCAAAGTACCACCAGAGGAGGAAGAGAACTTCCTGTGAGCTGCAGCAGCTGGGCCTGGTATTTGAGGCCATCCCAATTTTATTTATTGTCACAGAAAAGATTCTAATTTATGTCACGTGGACATTCCCCAAACCTGGCCTGGAACCACTTTCGGATCCTCTAGGATCCTGAGCACATATCACAAAGACTGAAGGGAGATTTTATAAGAGTTGGTATGTGCCATCACCCAGTACTGGGATCAAGTTAGGACCCCAGACACCTGCTGCCTTGGAAGGGCAGCTTCATGGAGACCTCTGCCTTGATCTCTCTGCCTGCTTTCCAGACAGGCTGTGGTAGTATGTCCTCCTTAACTGCTGTTCACACGGGGCCTCCCGGCCTTAGACCAGGGACATTCAGGGTCAACCCAGAGAAACAATGGTTTCTCTCTGTTCACTCCACTCAGGGTGGGACCCTGGCTGAATGGCAGGCCCAGGGTAGCCTGTGGACACCAGAAGCACTGTGCCCAGAGCACCCCAGAGTCACCCTAGTGCCTACTTCCCTGTTCTTGGGGCACCAGAATCAGCTTTTTCCCAGTTCCCAGCCAGCCCCACTCATCAGCATGCCCTGCAGCAACAGGTATGACCAGCCAGGTGCTCTTTGGGGCGTGACCCTTCACTCTGACAGCTGCTACTCAAAATTACCCACATGTGCCTTCAAGAAGACCAAAAAGAATGGGGAGCTGTAATTCAGTAATTTGAATGTTTGCCTAGCATTAACATAGCTCTGGGCTCCATCCCCAGCACCACATACAACAGATGTGTTGGCACATGCCTGTTGTCCCAGCACTCCTAGAGGCAGGAGGATCAGAAAGGAGTTCAAGGTCATCCTTGACTGTATAGTGAGTTCAAGACCAGCCTAGGCTACCTGAGACCTTATCTCTAAAAAAACGTAAAAAGGGAGACAAAATGTTAGATCACAAACAGAGGACCATAGGAGGGTGCACAGTCCACCATTTGGTGGGCAAGGAGTTTCCAGGGTCTTTTCTATCATCCTCCCTTGAGTCCTTAGGTGTGCATTTTTTTCTTTTTCTTTTTTTTGTTTTTGTTTTTGTTTTGTTTTGTGTTTTTTTTTTTTTTTTTTTTTTGGTTTTTGAGACATGGTTTCTCTCTCTGTATTGTTTAGAAGCCTGTCCTGGAACTTGCTCTGTAGACCAGGCTGGCTTCGAACTCACATAGATCCACCTGCCTCTGCCTTCCGAGCTGTGCCTTTCTTATAATGTCCCCAAAAGTGTTCTTAATAGGCTGCCTAGGCAGCAAGTCCCACCATGGTCTTCTGCCTCACCAAAGAAATAAAAGTCAGTTTAAAAAAAAAAAAAAAAAAAAAAAAACCAACCTTCCAGGGTTACCAGCCTCCACCCTGCCTTTTTTCATTGAGCCTGTGGAACAAACCATGAAATCTTCCAGAAATGTGTGGTACATGCTCATGGGTCCCTGGGGAGCATGGAGGCAAGAGGAGGGAAGAAAAGTGGGCCCTTCTGGGGTCCTGAAGGTACAGGGACAAGATGGCTCAGGAGCAAAGGTTTGAAGTCAATGGAGGAATAATGGTTGATAAGACAATTTCTATGCTGAGGCAACCTTAGCATAGGAGGCTAGGCTAATCTGCAATTAGGTTCCAAGAATAGAGTGATACCATTTTTGTTATTTGTTATTTTTATTTTGTCTTCGCTGTATATATTAGTCCCCTGTCTGTGTGTTATTTGTGTTAGTCTGCAATCCATAAGGGGACAAAGCAGGTTCAGAGACCCTGGAGGCACCTGTGGTGTGGGAGTGGATGTCTCAGGAGGGCGAGTGTGTGAGTTAATGGGTCCCATTACTAACCACACATTAAGCCATAAGCTATGTATCTTCAGTACCACTGTTTATTTACTATGTATGCCTGCAGCCCAAGCCCCAAGTTCTCAGGGTTCTCCAGCCAAGCCATGGGATACTCCAGATTTGAGCCAATGGGCACAGACTGTCATTCATCTCTGCCCCAGTAGGGGGCTGAGATTGTAACATTGCTCACTGAGCATCCCGAAGAACCAGGGAAAGAACTTCTCCAAACCACATCCCACATCCAGGCCACAAATGCGGACACTTGAGTGTAGACATCTGGGGTCTTAGGGTCACCACACCAAAGGCCTGAGAAGGAGACAAGGCCGTGGGCCCGGCTCCCACATACCAAGGGTCCCCCAGAGTCTGCCTGGAGTGAAAAAGAAACTGAAGTTAGATGTTGCTCTTGGGCTCTTGTGTTCCCAGAGGACTCTGTCAGACACAGCCATGTCTGTGCTCTCTTTGAGCAACACAGCTGTGTGCAGCAGCCCTCTGATACATCTACCGAAAGGCTGAGGTTTCCTGTGAGTCTCCACTCCCAGGCTCTCTCTTCGGTGTCCCAGCTAATCCCTAACTCACTGAAGAATCAGCCCAAGTTTCCGAGGTAGTGTCTGCTTCATATTTTTGTTTGTTTGTTTGTTTGATTGGTTGGTTGGTTGGTTTGGTTGGGTTTGGTTTTGATTTTGGTTTTCCAAGACAGGGTTTCTCTGTATTGCTTTGAAGGCTGTCCTAGAACTCACTCTGCAGATCAGGCTGGCCTTGAACTCACAAAGATCTGCCTGCCTCTGCCTCCCGAGTGCTGGGATTAAAGACATGCACCACCAATGCCTGGTTGCTTCATGTATTTTTCTGTACACAGTCCAGGGCATGTTTGTGCAGGCACAGCCTGCAGATATGAGTGGATTCTGTATGACTCTCAGCCACTCTCACCTTCCTGGTCCTCATTTCTCTACATTAGTGGGACTCAGTCCTCAAAGGTAACCCACGCCCAGCCCGGACCACACTTGTGGACCTCAGTTTCCTCATACAGCAAGCCATCATACCGAACAGAAACCACGCCACTTGTGGTCCCCACTGCGGGTGCAGAGCGTGGCAGGACTCAGCTGGCCCTGCCAGGAGCTGTTGCAGACATTCAGGTCCAGTACTTGTACCTCAGCTTCCATCAGCCCTGGTGGAGGCTCCTCAAAGTCAGACACAAAGCCCCAGCCGGATACACGGCAACGCCTCCCGGCCAAGGGTGGCCTGGCACCTCTCCGTGGCAATCCCAATACCTGCACAGCAGGGCCCAAGACAGCTGAGCCATTCAGCTAAGGGAGGAAGGCTGGATTCAGTACCACTTGCTCCTCTCATCTTCTCCCACCTTAGTGCCCCCCCAGGAACACCAAAGAGTAGACTGTGTCAAGAATCAGTAGCAGCTGTGGCTCCCCCACCATCAGACCGTCCCCTCCTGCCCTTCAGGTGCTCCACCCTGGGCCAGAGAGGACCTCCCCACAGCGCCTCTCAGCTTGACACCACTCCTTTTTGTTTTCGAGACAGGGTTTCTCTGTATTGTTTTGGAGCCTGTCCTGGAACTCGCTCTTGTAGACCGAACTCACAGAGATCCGCCTGCCTCTGTCTCCTGAGTGCTGGGGTTAAAGGCGTGCACCACCACCTCTAGGCCGTTGCCCCCACTCCTTAGTCCTCTAACTCCCAATGTCCTCAGGATGAAGACTCCTGGCCTACCATTCCAATCCCTCTGAGGGCTCTCCAGCTGGAAGGAACTTCCCATTCAGCCTCACCCTTCCGGAACCTCCCCAAGTCTCAGCAGTTTATTAACTGACATCCCACCACCTGTGAGACTGCCTGGGGCCTCTGCAAGTCTCCTGCCACTCAGCTGAAGGGAGAGGACTCTGAAGGGAGCAGACTCTGGAGAAGGATGAGTCCATGCAGCCTCACCTTTCCCCACTGGCCAGTTATTCCTAGCTGCACTGTCTCCACCTGTAGTAGATGCGACTCCAGGGAGACTCACCCTGGACTCTGGCAGCAGAAACCTTCATTCCTCCTTTGTGTCCTAAGAAACTGCTGTGACCTGAAGTCCACAGCACTCAGAGGGCTTGTCAGAGTGTCTGTACGACAGCTTTGAGACACTCCCTCGAGAAACGACCCTGAGGTGGGAGTCCTGGAGGGTTCTGGGCAGTGGAGGTGTATGACAGGGTCCAGGAGTCCAAGGTCCTGCCAGCCATTTTCAAACAGAATTCCAGGATCCAAGGCATGAACTAGTGGCAAAGCCCTTTCATAGTGTGCAAGGAAAGGGTTCAGGCTAGGTGTGGCGCACTCCTTTAACCCCAGCACATAAGAGGTGGAGGCAGGCGGATCTGCTCCAGGCCAGTCTGGTCTATATACTGAGTTCCAGTACAGCCAGGACTACACAGAGAAATCCTGTCTCGAAAAGAAAAGAGGTCATCTCCAACCATAAGAAAATTAAATAAATAAACCCAGAAGTCAAGTGGGCCTGGACCCTCCTGTGGCTTACCCTTAATAGGCAGATGTCATTGGCCTGTGTGGTAGGCTGGTAACTGGGATGCCGGACAACAGCTGCAATACTGAATACCTGTCGAGTGGGCTCTGGCTTGAGCAGTGCATGGGCCCCAAGCACCAGCAGGCCAGTGGAGGGATCCCTGCAGGAGATAAGGCTGAGATCAGCAGGAGTGCTCCACGCATGAGCCCGTGCAGCCCCTCACTGTCTCCAGGTTCCCAGCCCTTCTCTATTACCACAGTGCTCCAGTCCTTGCAATATTAATTTAAGGAGCTATAAAAATACATTCTAACTTCCATGACGTTATTTTGTAGTGCTAAGTATGAACTGAAAGCCTCAAGCTTCTTGCTAGACAAGTGTTCTACTCGTGGCTGTGCCACTAACCCTTCCCTGAGGGAAACTAGGAGGGACTTTACTATTCAACCCTAAACTATTTATTTATTTACTTATTTTTATTTGAGACAGTTCCTGTCCTGACTCAGCCTTCTAGCCTTCTGGCTAATTGGAATTTCCAGACAGAGCTGTCGTTCTGAGCAGTAACATGAGTGGTAACAATAACACACATTTGTGTTGGAGGTGATCATAGTTATTATATTTGATTGTTATCCTCAGAAGTACCCTGGGGGAGGGATGGTCCTGTCTGTGTCACATCCTAGCTTCCTGATGGCCTCTATCCCTCAGTGGCCTGAAGCATGTCACCTGTCATTGAAGCAGTGTGCAGCTGACACCACCCAGTGCACATGGAGCAGAAAGCCTCCGCAGTGGTGACGGCCCTCGAAGCTCACAGAGACCATGTAGGGCCGGGAATGTGGTGTCACTTCATGGCCCCCAGTAATCAGGGATCCACAGCAACCTGGGATAGGTGTGGCTACGTGAGAGACCAGGACAGGAAGAAGGGCCACTGGAGGTCAGCCCTGGCAGGGAGCTGGGCCAGAAGATGGGCTGAGAGGACAGGGGTGAACAGAAGCATTCAGGAGCACAGGCAGGCAGACATCTGTCAGCTGAAGGCCAGCCTGGTCCACAGGGAGAGCTCCAGGGCAGCCAAGGCTACACAGTGAGACCTTCCCTAAATAAAAGAGAGTGAGCGAGTTATGGGTGTGGCTTAGTGGGTAGAACACTGTCCTGAACAGCCTCAGCACCACACAGACCGGGTGTGGTGATGCTCACCCATCATCCCGGGGTTCTGAAGGTTGAGGCAGAAGGGTCATTCTCAGCTGCATATCACTTCAAGGTGCCCAAGCCACATGAAACCCTACTTTCATTAAGACAGATGGATAGGCTGGATGGTGGACAGCAGGCCTTTAATCCCAGCCAGCACTGGAGAGGTAGAGATGGGATATCTGTGAGTTTGAGGCTAACCTGATCTACAAGGTGATTTCCAGGACAGCCAGGGCTACAGAGAAACCCTGTCTCAAAAAACAAACAATGATGAGTAGATGGCTGGTGTACGTGTTTTATTTGTGTTTAAATAAAACCACAAAAACTGAAAAAAAAAAAAAACAAACAAACAATGACAAATAAATAAATAAATAAATAAATAAATACGGATGGGTAGACAGACAGACAGACAGACAGACAGGAGAGAGAACAAGAATAGGAGAACCTTTGGTCACTGAGATGGCTCAACAGGCAAAGGTACTTGCTACCAACCTTGACAACCTGAGTTCAATCCCAGGGACTCATATGGTGGAAGGGCAGAACCAACCCCAGCAAGTTTGCCACTAGCTGTCAGAAGCACCTTAGACATGTGACCCATCAAAATAAATAAAGGTAATTTTAAAAATAGGAGACTTGGCAGGGCTGGAGAGATGGTTCAGCCGTTGAGAGCATTGTCTGTTCTTCCAGAGGTCCTGAGATTAATTCCCAGCAAACACATGGTGGCTCACAACCACCTGTAATGAGATCTGGTGCCCTCTTCAGGCCTGCAGGGATACATGCAGACCGAACATTACCTAATACATAAAAAAAAAAAAAAAAAAAAAAAAGAGAGACTTGGAAAAATGGTCCATCATTTAAAAACCCTGGCTGGTTTTGGGACTCAGGTTCAATTCCCAACACGTGCAATGGTCGCTCACAATCATCTGTAACTCCAGTTCCAGGGCATTCTCTCCTGGCCTCCTCAGGGACTGCATGCATAAGACATAGAAGCAAAACACTCATACATGTAAAAATAAAAACAGAAGAAAGACTAAGGGGACCCAGAGCTCACAACCCTGTACCGAGGATGGCTGAGATCCCTGCCAGGAACCTCATGCTCCACCCACAGCCACCGTTCCTGGAGCAGCAGTTAGGCTAGATGTGGGTCCTACCTAGGAGCCTGTAGTCACCTGAGGTCATTTTGGGTAGGATTTAGTGACAGTTTGAAGTTCTCACCAGAGGGGATGAGCTGGATCAGGGCAGCTGTCACTTCCAACACAAGGCAGCCCCAGTGTCCAGCTCTGGGCACCATGGCTGCTGCAGGATGGTGTCTCCCTGGCAGAGTCTGCAGGTGCAAGAGGCACCCTCACCAACGGTCCAGCCACAAAAGTAAGAACAGGGTTGTGGTCTGTGGTCAGGAGGTAGAGCAGGCGCTTCTGGGAAATAGGGAAGGCAATTCAACTGTCCCTTGTTCCCAAGATGGCTGCTCATGAAAGCTCAGAAAATCATTTTATACGCTCAGACTTGCCCAACATCTTCCTACTAGTTCATCTGGCCCCAGCCAGGCTGAACACACATCATTGGGGACTGTACCTCAGACCATCTCAGGGACACAGTCACGCTGGAAGCACCAAACCCGCTTACCCCTCTGTCTCTTGCCAGGTAGACCTGGGCACCTTCACTCTTGACCTCAGCTTCCCATCATATATCTCAGGTCTGTAAGGACAATGAGGAAGGCTAAGCCTTTGCAGAGATCTGGGTTTACCTGACTTCACTGCATTTATTGAGCTTCTACTGTGTACCAGGCTTCATTGGAAGAACTGGGAATATAGCAGAGACTAACCCTGAGGTCTGGGGTCCAGAGACCACCTACAGGATATGTGCTAGTCTTGGGTTTCTTCATGGTGGGGACCTTCAGAAGAGAACATTTAGACAGGCTTGTAAGGAGTAAGATTTTTTTCCTCCTGCCGCTGGTCTGGTCCCGCCACTACGCCAGCCCCAAATAACGCACAGAGACTCTGTATTAGATATAATTCTGTTGGCCTGGTACTAGTTTCTTATCGGCTAGCTCTGTGTTAAGTATTAACCGATTTCTGCTGATCTATGTATTTTCACGTGGTCTTCTCTTACCGGGAAGTTGGCTGGCATTCTGCTTTCTCCAGACTCTCCATCCTGACTCCTCCTTACTACTTCCCCTTTCCTCCTTGTCTCCTAGTCCCACCTATCTTCCTTTCCTATTGGCCAACAGTGCTTTATTCATTAACCAGTATAAGAAACATACAGAATGACATCTCCCATCATCTCCTCTTTTCTGTCTAAATAAAAAGAAGGGTTTTAACCTTAACATAGCAAAATATATCATATAACAGTTACCAAATAAGAATCACAGTTAACACTATTTAGTCCATTAACATTTAGCAAGATTTAAGAAACTATTCTGTCTGTCATCTATCCTATATTTGTGAGTCTAAACTCCTATATGTAACTTATCTTTAAGCCTAACTAAGGAAAACTATAACCATAACTATCTGTCTTCAACTCCTTCAAAGACCACAGAAGGATAGTATATAAACTGTAGAAATGACAGGCATCTCGCCTTGTCAGTCACCTGAAGTTCTGTAATCTTCCATTTTCAGCCCATAGGCCATAGTGTGTCTAGCAGAATCTTCAGCAAAGCAGGAAACTTTAAACTGTCTTCTTGTATTGGCAGTTTGTCAGTCACTTTCCTTTGTGTCCTGCAGAATGTCTGGCAGACTCTTCCATGAAGCAGGAACTCTGTAGCAATGTCCATCTTGTATCAGCAGTTACTTTTCTGTGGGTCCTGCATGTCTGGTTTATACAGCATAAAGTCAAACAGTCCAGACAAGAGCAGTATCTTGTCCAAATGGCTAGTCTTGCCATATTGGAAGTAAACTCCATAACGAGTGTCTTCAATGTCCATCTTCCTTTCTGACCAGGTGTTGTTGCCAGGAGCATTTATGTCTTACTGTCAAGAAAAACCCTAAACCATTTTAAATGCCATATTCTGTAGGTCTTTGAAAGGTATAAAGAATGCATATCTATCTCAAATATATCTCTGTATATCTAGAAAACCTAACTCATCTAACTGTAAGTTTTGACTATAATAGGTAACTATCTATAATCTGTGTACTAAATTATACATTATATTTCTAAATGAGCTATATAAACACATTACCTAAATAAGAGGAGAAATATACATATCACAAAATTGACATTAAATTCTATCAATAAATGAAAATCCATTCCAAAACAAAGTATTCATATCTATTCCATACAGGCTCTCATGTAGCCCAGGCTGGCCTCAAATTCAATATGTAGCTAAGAATGATCTTGAACTCCTGATCCTCTGGCCCCTACCTTCCAAGCACTAGATGGGATGGCAGGTTTGGGAACTTAAGCCTCCCTAGGTTGTGTGGCTAGCCTTGCACTGGTCCACTTTTGGTGGCCAATGTCCTAGCTGGACACAACAGGCTGACCCCTAGTTGGCCTGTAAGACCTACCTACTCCAAGTCTGATATAGATGTTGGGGACTTAAGAGGAAAAAGGGGACAGATGGACCTGGACGAACTCAGGGCACACAATGGTGCTCAGGCAGTGGTGGTGGGAGAGCACAGGGTCAGCAAGGCCATCCTGCAGGGAGGGGACTGTTGTCTTGGCTACTTCTCCAAGAGGCTTGTTCCAACCACCCTGAGGATGAAGGATGGAGAGAGCACTGGCTGCTTTTCCAGAGGACCCTGTTCAGTTCCCACCCAACATGGTGGCTCACAATAGTTTGTAACTCTAGTTGCCGTGGATCTTCTGCCCTCTTCTGGCCTCTGTGGGTACTGCATGCACAAGGTACATATGTACAGGAACACAACCAGAACATAAAAAAAAAAAAAAAAATTAAGTTAGCTGGCAATAATGGAATCGAATTGAAGACTTTGATATCAACCCACACACCTAGTAACACCCAATTTTTAACAAGGAAGGTAAAATATAAAATGGAAAAAAGAAAGCTTATTCAACAAATGGTGCTGGTATAATTGGATGTCAACATGATTGCTAATAGATCCATATCTGTCACCGTGCACAAAACTCAAGTCCAAATAGATAAAAAAAAATCTCAATATAAATCCATCCACACTGAACCTCATGGAAGAGAAAATGGGAAGTAGCCTTGAATGCACTGGCACAAGAGATCACTTCCTAAATATAACACTAAAGCACAGACACTGAGAGCAACAATTAATAAATGAGACCTCCTGAAACTGAGAATCTTCTGTAAAGCAAAAGACACAGTCAACAAGACAAAATGGCTGCCTCAGAATGGGAAAAGGTCTTCATCAACCCCACATCTGACAGAGGGCTGATCTCCAAAATAGACAAAGAACTCAAGAAACTAGATATCCAATTAAAAAATGGGGTACAGATCTAAACAGAGAATTCTCAACAGAACAATCTCAAATGTCAGAAAGACACTGAAAGAAATGCTCAGCATCCTTAGTCATCAGGAAATGCAAATCAAAATAACTCTGAGATATCATCTTACACCATCAGAATGGCTAAGATCAAAAACACTGATGACAGCTTATGCTGGAGAGGATGTGGAATAAGGGGAACACTTCCCCATTGCTGGTGGGAGTGCAAACTTGTACAGCTGCTGTGGAAATCAGTATGGCTATTTCTCAGTAAATTAGGGATCAACCTATCTCAAGACCCTTCAAAACCACTGTTGGACATATACCCAAAGGAGGCACATTCACACCACAAGGGCATTTGCTCAACTGTGTTCATAGAAACATTGTTCATAATAGCCAGATCACGGAAACAGTCTAGATGCCCCTCAACAGAAGGACGGATAAAGAAAATGTGATACATTTACACAACGGAGCACTACTCAGCAATAAGAGACAATGACACCCTAAAATTTGCAAGCAAATGGACAGAATTAGAAAAAAACATCCTGAATGAAATAACCCAGACCCAATATAGTATGTTCTCACTCATAAGTGGATACCAGACATAAAGCAAAAGATACCCAGCCTACAATCCACACCACAGAGAAGCTAGAACCCTCTTCCAGAAACAGATGGAAGCAGAAGCAGAAACCCACAACTAACCAATGAGCCAAGCTCCTGGAGTAAAATGAAATGAGAGAGGAGCGATAATATAAACAAAGGAGTTAAGAGCATGATGGGAAAATCCATAGAATCAGCTAGTGAGAGATCACTGACTCAGGACTGACAAATGGAGAACCTGCATAAGACCTGAACTAGACTCCCTTAATATAGGTGACAATGGTATGACTGGGACAATATATGAGGCCACTGGCACTGGGTCCAAGATCTAAGTCTAATGCACAAACTGACTTAGTGGAGCACATTCTATATAGGAGCACAACCTACACACAGGGGTGTGGGGGGCTTGGTCCTGTCTCAACTAAATGTACACACAGGGGTGTGGGGGGCTTGGTCCTGTCTCAACTAAATGATGGGACAGAGTTAGTAGGCTTCCTAGGGGAAGCCTTACCCTCTCCAAGGAGCAGGAGGGGGGGAGGAGTGGAGAGAGCAGGAGGAGAGGAGGGAGGGGGAACTGGATTGGATTGTAAAAGGGAAATTAATGAAAAAAGAAAATTAGCTGACAGTGATGGCACACTCCTTTGATCCCAGCTCTCAGAAGGTAGAGCAAGGCCCATCTCTGTGTGTTCAAAGCCAACCAGGTCTACAAAGTGAGTTCTAGGACAGCCAGGGCTACACAGTGAGACCTTGTCTTAGAACACACACACACACACACACACACACACACACACACACACACACACACTGCTGGCCGCAGACTCAGGGTGGTCCCCTTTCCCCATTTCCTTCCCCTTTGGTGAGCAGTTGTGTAATGTAAAACCATCTTGTGTTCACCTCAACTGCCAAGCTCACAGCAATCGTCAGGCACACTGTGCAGTCTTGAGAGATCACAGAGATTTTCAGGCTTGAGCTGGGATATCCAGGGGCACTGAGGATTAGGGCTGGGGAGAGAGGGAGAAAAGTTCTCCAATACCACAACCCTCCCATATATCCTCTGAGTCTCTCTCTCTCTCTCCTTTGTAGTTATCTGTTAATTAAGTTATTGGCTGATTTCGTTTTTGTGTTTTTGAGACAGGGTTTCTCTGTGTAGCCTTGTCTGACCTGGGACTCACTCCATAAACCAGGCTGGCCCCAAACTCACAGAGATCCTTCTGCCTCTGCCTCCCAAGTTCTGTGATTACAGTGTGTGCTACCCCACCTGGCTCTCTCTTTTTGTAGACAAGGTCTTAGG